TTATCGTTATCTATAATTATATTCCATATCCTGTGTTATACTCAGAATATCTCAATGCATTCACAGCAGATTCAATCAGTTAACAAAATTATGTTCACTATTATATCCAATTAGTTGTTTACAGTTATACTAATAATGTTAAATTTACACTAAACTAACTTATATTATATAATATATAAAAAATTACTAATGATATCTATAAAATAATTACCAACCAATAATGTTTATGTAATCATTATAATAAGTGTAGCCTTGCTTATCACTGGGTGCGCCCAATCCTTTAACAACAACAAAATGTTTTGTGTGTAAATAAATGAAACAATAAAAATAAGTTACAATACTAGAATAGATATTTCAAACCTACAGTATTTTTATATCATTAGATAATAAAAACAATAAAAACCTGTTAAACGACAACAATTTTATCGTATATTTTATTGATATAAACATAACTTTGAGTTTAACATTTAAACCCATTTACAAATTATATGAATTGACAACATTTACAAACAATAATTTTATATAATAGTAAATTAAATTATAAAATTCTTGTAACATAATTACAGTATATTATGTATAAAATTATCATGTATAAAAATATAAAATTACATAAAAGTAGAGGTAGTCCAGTGCTAATCAGACTTTCCCTCATCTGATAAAATATAGCTTTTCATCGTAAGTATACTTCTCATGATTTATAAAGTTTTTGCACTCTTTCTTGAAATTATGATAAATTAAAGGGTTTGTCGACTCAAAAAACTCCGGTAACGGACAGTCGATTTTGTTTTGGCAGTCACCCAGTGGTAAAGGGGTGGGGACACCACTATAGGTGTCCCTTAAATAATAGATCTTAACGTAATACTGTTCCTCACCGGGATTCTGGTGCAGCTCCAGTAGTAGAGTCGACCCGAATAACGGCAGTTCCCCATCAAATATGTTGAGGCCGTGCATGAGAGCCGCCAACATTGAGTCGTGTGTGGAATATATGTATAGTTTCTTATCGTTTGTTCCCTTAATAACTGATTTAAAATTTTTGGTCAATTCCTTGACTAAACCGCCGGCTCTCAGACGCTTGATTACAGTACTGTCCCAATCGAGTCTACAAATTATTAGCATTTCAATCATTTTCATAATAAATATTTCATATAAAACACACACAATCTAAACAATCAATTATTGTATAAGAATTATATTTTAAAATTTACAATGCTACTAAAGTTTACAAAAGTTTATTTTATATATAACTTCATTGTATTGTATAATTCATATAATATAAAAGCACTGATACCTGTAAGCCATACGGTGCACATCCAGGAGCTGATCCACAATCTCTTGTTGTTCATCGCGTGTCCACACGTGAGACCAGTAGAGACCGGCGCTCATCTCAATTTGTAGGGCAGTGTGTAATTGACCGCATTTTTTGATACTATCCACGGGATAGCCCACAACCGCCGACAGCCTATCAAACAGATCGGTCTTATTCTTGAGGTATTCCTGCACTTCAGGTCTCTTATAGATTAACTCCTTTTCCATGTAAACAGCGGGACAGGGCTTCTCTTGTCTCAACACAATGTCATCTCTTTTAGGCATAAATGTCTCGATAGGGAAGGGCTGCCAAAGAGTGCCTAACTGAGCGTCGCTGGCATTACCCCATTGCCAGTGTTGATTGCGGGGCGGGTAGGCGCCGGCCAACAGAGACGACACACTCTCAATACACCGGTGCGACAGCGAACTCCTGGTGTATACCTCGCGGGGCGAGTACTCATCGCCCAAATACTGGTCGTACTCTTGGCGTATGTATTCACCCAACTTATACATCCTGTACTTGCCTTTAGAGTTCAGGTGACCTATACCTTCGCGCCAGTACTTGATGTCTTGGTAGGGGTCGTTGGGTGGGAAGCTTATTGGAGCCCTATTCACAATTTATATACAATGTATTTGTGTATTTATGTACCAGGTACACAATGTATTCGTCAAAACTGGAAAGTTCTTTTCATTCATTTATCATTAATACCAATGGTTTAACCTTTAACCGCTATTAATAACAATGAACCATGCACATAATTTTAAAGTTAATAATGATAAATAAATGATAAGAACTTTTTAGTTTTAACGAATACACAGTATATACTGTCAAATTAAGGCTTAAATCAAAGTTAAAATGCAAAGTGTCTACTATACCTGTCCCCATGCCGGTGCACAATCTGCAACAGTTTCAGTGTCGAGATGTCATGGTTTGGCCATTTGTCTGATGCGAGACAGCGCTGGTAGGCGTTCAGCATTAGTAGGAAAACTATTTTAAGACTAGAAGTCCTCATTATATTATTATTATGGGTACTATTAATACAACTATTTTTTAGTACTATTTATATTCGTGTTTATTAGGTTTAATAAAACCTATTTTATAAAATATACTTCTTTTATATAACATTTAAAATTAATTATTATGTTTAGCACACAATTAATATAAATATAAAACATGTACTTTTCATTACTAATTGTGTTGAACACAGTTTTTGGCCTAATTTTGTACAGAATTGTCACATTCTGTTATGATAAGTAAAATATTTGACATTTTTATTATGATTACAAGAATATTTGTGACAAATATATGGACCATTATATAATGAACACATTATTTGTTTTATTTACTTTTAAAACATTTTAAAAATCACAACAATTAATAAATATTTATTGACAATTAATACGTAGGAAATCCTGTCAGAGACACAGTATCTGCAAATGTGACTGATTGTCAACTCATGAAAGGCATACACACGCAAACATACCTGTCCTCTAAATTGATTGACCTCTAAAAGTGTTTATTAATTTGAGTGATGTTTGAATGTCTGATTAAATAACAATTTGATTGCCTCCTATTTTCTCAAAATAAATATTCTTTGTAATACTGTATTTAATATAGTTACATGTTAATTATTAATTTTATATTCCATTATACTTATATTAATAACCGTGCTTATAGATAATTTAATTATTTTTACTAGTCGCAAGTAAACATTTAAACTTACTTAAATGTTCATTATTATTTTATTAATTCTGATGATACACGATAAAATAGTTTCTATACTGTATTTTCAATAAATATTACAAGAATATATAATAGATTATATGATAATGATTACACATTAAATTATTTATTAGTTTGACTGACAAATAAATTAATTACAATTGACGCATAAATATATTTTTTGACGATAGTTGTGCAATTTGTTCACAAATAATTATAGTAATTACAGTAAGGTGCGGATAATGTGCTACAAGTTTGAATATTAAATTCAATTTTGAAAAAGTTATTTGAATGAACGCATTGAAGACACCACCAAACTGTAGCTTATGTTACAATGGATCTCCATTTTCGGTAAAATCACAATTTTATCAAATATTCAAATATTAGTTTAAAATTGATCTAATTTAACAATTCAATGTATTATTATTTTCATGCAAGACTTACATACTAATAATTGTTTTGCACATTATATTTTAATTTTTAATAATTTATAAAATAATTTTTTAATTAAAAAAGGTAAATATCACCTTGGAACACAATAAAAATCACGGAAAACTGAGAAATAATAGAGATACTGTATAAGTTTTAGCAATTATTAATCAGTACTTCATTTCATATTAACTATGAATTTATTGAAAGAGAAAATAAAAAACTTCACACAAAGATCTAGTGATAAATTTGAAAGTATTATTGAATTTGAAAGATTTATAACTGGATACTATTTCATTCATTCAAATTCATTGGAGGCATATGTGACGGGACAGGTAGTCAAAGGAAGGAATACCCAATTTTGGATCAGAAATGTATTCCTAATAATGAATACCATAAAGTATGGTATTTTCACGGTATACAGTCCTAACTGGCTAATAACATTGCTGGGTGAATCGGTGGGTCAATGGTTTAAACTCAAAGTAATGACCTTGGAGTTATTTGCGGCCGGAATTGCGATAATTCTGTTGATAAACATTACTTATTATTTCGAAACTAAACACAAGTTAACAATTCTTAGCGTATTATATAAATTGTTAGAGCAGGATAAGTTTTACTCGTTAAACCCAAAATATGAGCAAAGATTTAGTCAGCAATCACATTTTGTTTATCTAATATTAAAACTGCTTACGAATTCAATGACAATCGTAGTATTCATTAGTTTCTCTGGTCTCGCAATTCTCTCCTATTTTGACACTAATTTCAATCATAACATCGTTTCACTCGTATTGAACACAATTAACATTACACTTCTGTTGAGACAAGTATTTTCAACTGCATTTTGTGCCGTATTTACCACTTATTTATGTGTATTGTATTTGAGATATACTTTCCGACAAATAATATCAGACATACAGTCAGGAATCGGTAAAAATGACACAAATTTCATACTAAATACCATAAGAAGACACCAAACGTTCACCACATTAACCAAGGAATTCAACACTTATATCAGTCAAATCGTGGGACCCGTATATACGATAGGCGCCGTTTGCTTAAATGTTTTGCTATATATAGCTAATGATCGGGAATCGGACTTTTGGAAGAGATTGTTTGCCGTATATATATTGCTAAATGTTATACTCATTATATTTAGCATCAATTCAATGGTGGCCTCCGTTTCCATTGAGAACAAGAATATTCCTAAATATTTGTACACAAAATTCTGTGACTATAGAAATCGGCATTTTGGACACAATTTATTCATTAAACTAAAGGTCGAGGCATTCATTGCACGACTTACTCAACAGTTTATAGGATTTTATTGTTTTAATTTGTTTCGATTCATTAAACGATCCTTTTATGAATATTTGTATATTTTGACGGTTACCTACTTTAAGGTCAGCGATATCAATAAAAATATTGTCTAATGTATTGTCTAATGTATGATCACATATTTCTAACTTACATTCTGTACTCAAGAGTTAAACATTTAAATAAAATTTAAAATTTAAAAATTAACTTCTCATGAATTATTTGACATAACTAGCATGGTCTCTCCCAACACGTTTAAGGTCTTTTAGTCTAGTTTTTAGGACAGGTATGTTATCCCAGAAATGACTGATGAAAATGTTTTGTTTTGTTAGGTATAGCACACAGTTATTAATTATTTAAGATTTTAGGTGACAAGGTTCCCGGCTTATAAGGGTTGCTGAACCAGGTAGTATCATTTATAGTCGTGTGAGCAATGTATCATAACTGTGATGCGACTGTAGATATAAGTTGCATATTGAATATTATACTGGGTTTGTAGTGCCATTGAATTGTGTATTCATTTCCAGTCAATTGCTGTATAATTGATATATTTTGTAATATTTCACTAATTTCATATATTGTAATATAATTGCAATATTACAACATTCATATCACTTAATACTATACAAGTGGAACATAGTAAGCAAGGTAGTTTCATACAAACTTGTGTTAGCAGTCTAACAGCGCTTACATCAGTGAAAATGTATGACTGTGATTGCACATGTATGCTAAGCACACACATGTTAGAATGTGTTAGGAGGGGAACGGTATGTGTTTATATTTAGCTACAGGCGCTCTTCCTTTCACAACACATTTGTGGCACAAATCAACACTTTGTATGTCTGTATGTCTTCACATCTGCCACCGAAATGTCATTCAAATTGTGACTCATATTTGGCATCAATTTTACCATCAGTTCACAAATGAGTCATTCATTGAAATCCAATTCATTAGTAATACTCACAAAGTCTTCAAAGTCTTCAAAGTCTTCAAAGTCTTCACATTTTGTTTGTTTTTGGTGTCAATAATGGGTTCACAAAGCGATACCTGTTTTACGCGACTCTTCCTCAAGAAGTATCCATTGGTTAGCGACGAGACAATCGACGCTCTCATCACTAATGGCTATTCAGACAAAGAGTTTCTACTCCTTCTGGACGTCAACACAGATCTGCCACTCATTGCGATACCGATGGCCCAGAAGTCGGTCTTAAGGAAGATTTTGGTTGAGTTCCAGTCGTTAGAGCCGAAGACGTTCGACAAGTCCTTCCACAAGAAGGTGTCCGAAGATGTCCACGAAATCATCGCTCAATTAGTGCCCAATAATACGCCCAACAAGTCGTTGGACTCATCGACGGCGGCTCAGGAGGTGATGACAACCACCATAAGTACCGCATCCCCATCACAGTCACCACTGAAGACAGCGTCTCCCACGAGATCCCATAGTCTGTTGTCTATGCCATCAACGAGTGGTCACATGAGTGCCAATAGTGTGCCTCCGAAGCCAAACACATCGCACAATAGGTTCCTATCGGTGCCGTCGACTAGTCGTCAATCACTGTCACCGATGATGAAGTCGAGAACGCGTCCACTGATTGGTCCCAAGTCTAGGATTATGGCCCTCAAGAACAGACATAAACGAAG